CTTCGAGCATGATGGTAGGCTTGGGATGATCTCCCCGGGAGAATTGACCGTGCCACGCAGTGGGACAATTTTTCCATTCCCAATGCGTGCAATCAATACTCCCAAGCATGCCCACAAAGCCGTGTTTAGCGGCATGCCTTGCCTGCAACTGCTGGATGTCGCTCGCTGTTGGCTTGCGTAAATATCTTTTATGATAAATTTGAATAATAGCTTTTGAAAATTTATAAACACAAGACCTGATACTCCGAGCCGACATCTTCAAGTATTCGTCGAACATATCGGATGCCGTTCCGTACGCCAACTGACGGAGCGCGGAAGTGCACTTCTGGACGCTACTAAACCTGCGTCGGCCTCTCGCATCAAATCGTTGGGTGAACCAAGGAACCTCGCGTTCAACATCGGCGAGTATGCGTAAGAAGAGAGGGCGACTCATCCGAAAACGATTACTAAAATCTTCCGGTGTATAAACACACGGATTATTAAAGTAGTCGTTTAGAAGTGAAGCGTGGGCGGCCTCTCGATCACGGTTTAGGCGTTGGCGTCGGGTCTGTCGTCGGGAGGATTCGGCTTCTTCTTGGCCATCTTCCCACCATTGAATACAATTCGTCGTGAAACAACGAAAAAATAAAGCTCTTCTTTCATCTTCGGAAGATGAACCCATTTTTAATTTATATTTTATAAATATTTATAATAAATAATAAATATTTTTGAGAGAATATATAGTAATAAAGAGAGATTTGTGAGAGAGAGTTGTGAGGAAGATGAATGAGAAGGGGGGATTTTATAGATTTTTTTTATTTTGGGGGGGGGGGGGGTAACGGCTATATAGCCGTTGGGAAGGGGGGGAGCCGGCAAAAAAATGGCATCACGCCGCGTCAAACTAATGACGCGGGCTGTCTCACGCCCGAATCACGCCGAAGGGGGGCGGTGTTTAACGCCCCCAGGCGTTAAACGCCCGTATCACGGCGGTGGGCGTGATGGGCATTTCCAGTGCTCTTATTGCTCCCTCCGTCCTAAAACTTTCTTCCCAGAGCATTATTCCAACTTCACGGGAATTTATATTAATTTGTGTTTTTTCATTGCCTATATGATAAAATAAAATATTCTTGTCACCATTTGTTTTGTTGAACTTTTGATGTAGTTTTTAAATATGTAAGTTTTATTTTTTATTTCTATACCAATATTTAAATAAAATAGATTGAAAAAACTTGGAATTTTTCTTCGTTTTGCGAATCGGGAAGAAAGATATAGGACGGAGTATATGGATATAGAATGAAATTGGTCAAAGCATCAACTTATTTCACAAAAGAAAAAAAAGTCTTGGGTATGCGGGAAAAAAATAGTGATGGGGCAAATGAGGGAGTGAAAAATTGGTAGGTGTAATTTAATTTTTCATGGAAATTCAAAATGCATACATTGGACTCAGATTTCAAATGCAACAAATTCATTCGTAGCTCTTATATATATATACGGAGTAGATCGTAATGAATAAAATCATAGTCTGTAGTGGGTCTTGTAAAAAAAGATATTCAATTATGAATCCATGAAAAAAATATTTGAAAAAGATACATATTTAACATATGAACTTTATAAGCACAATAACAAAAATATTCAAACATGTATATAACTAGATAAGGAGGAATTTACCTAATAAATAAGATTAAAACATAATGACTTTCTCAATATAGGACCATATATTTTTATTTCTCAATGTAGAACTATTGGTCATTATTCATTAGTCATTATTTAAGTAAATGTCCACTATCACAGAATATTATTTCTCCCACTAGACATTATTAAGTACTATTTAAAAAATAAAAAAGTTTAAGTCATACTTTGAAAAATGACCTATATTTTAGTCTTATTTTGATCATTCAGACAATATATAAACAAACACAACACATCTGTATTCTGAGTGGCAGATCTAAGAATATAAGTCAGAGCACCACGGATCGGGAGTACGAGGGTAGCACCTCTGGATTTTTTCTAATAGGCACTATGTAATGACAAAAAATAAAGAATTATATTTCAAACATTTATTGAATGTTTTTTTATTTTATAAACAATTAATTATATGTAATAAAACACAGTTTATTAAAAGACATTTTAAAAAAAGGTAATAAAAATCATCCTAAATAAGACTAAAACATAGAGAAAAGTATCAAAATAGGACTTTCATGTTTTTTTTCCCGGAATAGGACTTTGCACTGTGGTAATGTGACTTTGCATTGTGGTAATGTGGCAGTGTACATGTGCAAATTACTATACTTTTTTGGTAATGTATATGACCATGTTTGGTAATGTAAATCCTATTTCGGGAATAAAAACATGAAAGTCCTATTTTGGTATATTTTCAATGTTTTAGTCTTACTTTGGTCTTTCTTCCAAAGGTAATTAAAAATTTACTTAATTAGACGAGCCTCGTTAATTTTAGTAGGGGGCCAATTACATATAATAAAAAAAATGGAGTACCTTACTACTAAATATTTGTAGGGGATTTGGCCTCCAACTCTTATATTATGCTACATCCTCCATGGCGCCACTGCATGACAATTTGGTAGTTGTAAAAAAATTCAGTCTCTTTTTTTTTTATTACTACTCCGTACTTTTTTTTCCAATTAACTATTAAGTAATTACTCAAGATTGAACTTTTGTGTATATAACAGCTCAAGATTCGTACACGTTTTTACAAAATTGGTTCAAGAGATACCCACAATACCAGACCACGGATTTCTACATTGCTGGCAAGGATTATTCTGGTAATTACTCTTACTCTTTCATGTTTTTTTTCTCATGTGATTTCTCAAAATTCTATGCATATTATGTTGGATTTAGAAAATTAAGAACACTGCGAAGCAGTGTTGAACGAAGAACTCGATAGAATAACGAATCGCGTATGAAACGCTTTCAGATCAAAGTTATTTCGGGGTATACGAAATACTTCAATCGGATAAGACGTTAATTCAGAACAAGCACTCGAGAATCTATATCTCAACCCATACCACGAGACTCTATTTTATAGAGTCGAAAATCCTTGTGATCGGACATGAACGTTCGCGTACGTTCGCGCAAGAAGAAGAAAGGTGCGAGTTTAAACGAAAGGAAGGCTTAATTTCGACGTTTATCCATTATGTAAGAGTCCTTTACCGTTTTGGACTCCGATCACGAAAATCTTAAGGATTTTCTTAAAGAAACAACGTCCGAAATAAAAAATTTCCAAGCTCGACCCCGGCCAGGGGCTCTGCCCCTTGGACCCCGCCAGGGGCTGCCGCCTCTTACCCCCGCAGTGAATTTATAATATCGTTGAACGAGCGCGCACTCCTCTCCTCCTAACTCGTTTGACAACATCTATTTAAATTCTTATCCGATCAAAGTAAATCCAATTACACAAAATAAATTGATGACACTAAAATCACCAACATATTACCGAAAGAATACATTCAAATTTCATATAAATTGGTTATCAGTAGATTCATTTTGAAACATAATTTTGAAATATTTTATTTTCATAATATATATTTATATAAATATAGAGATATTAATGGTTAAGGTGTTGAATCAGAGAACGTAAAAAGTCAAATGAGAAGTTAATTCCAGAACGGAAGGAGTAGAAAATACTCGTATGATATTTGAATCTACTCCGTACATGGGAGGAGGGGGGGCACAAATTCATTCAAAAGATAACAAAAGAAGTTACTCCTTCCTTAAAGGATTGCTACAATTTGATTTTTTCTGTCAAATTGTGACACCCTATGACCGCAAATCATATAAAAATTATATTTAGACATAATATAAATTTAATAAAATTGAGTTTATTTTAAAATATAGTTTTTAAGCTTTTGTTCTTTAATTATTTTCAAATTTTTTCTTTTCTCATTTTTCACAATGGAACGTCGTCACAGGATTCTACATCCCAGAGCTCGCTGATGTTATTATCAAGAAGAATAAGATAGCGGCCGACAACAGTTTAAAGATAAATCTCAAGGGTATTATGGTATGTCATTAATTAATTAATTGCTACATAAATAAAACTAAAACTAACATGATGACGGAAAATTATGCTCCCCAAATAGTCATAAAATAATATTTGCACTAAATAGCACTAAAATTTAAGTTAGTTTCCCAAATAGCACTTAAGTCAGTTTCCCAAAAGGAGGAATATTATCTAGTGATGACAAACATTTACTTGAATAATGACTAAAGTGAGGAAAAGAACACATATGATGCTATTTAGGGAAAGTCATTATGTTTTAGTGTTATTTAAATAGATTCCCCATCTATTAAACCAAGGTTAGTTTGGTTTGTTTTAGATAGGGAATGGGATAATGAATATTCCCACGGACACTAGAGGTTTTATTGACTACGCTTGGAGCCACGCCCTCATCTCAGATGAAGCTCACCAAGCTCTGCTAAAACACTGCATCACCAATGATAGCTCATGTGAACGTTCTCTAAACGAAGCCGCCACTGAGATTGGAAACATAGACACTTACAACATCTATGGCCCTTTGTGCTCTGATTCCTCCCGTAATCGCTCATCAGTAATGTTCAATAAACGACGTTTCGGATACGACCCCTGTGAAAATGAGTATGTCCACAGTTACTTCAATCTCCCCGAGGTCCAAAAAGCCTTGCATGCTAACACCACCAAGCTTCCCTATCTTTGGTACATCGGCAGGTTCGTGTGACAATAAAGGTTGAAGTCATATGTTGTATTCGCGGGTAATGGTGTTACAAAATTGAAGTACATACGACTTTTAATTTTGGAACCGCGAAGCGACCATTTGACACAACTTTAATTTATCTATTTTAATACGTTGTGCACTAAGAGAACTAATTATTTTGCTACCACATTTTGTATGTGTATGAAGTAACGAGGTTTATACAAAGTGGACAGACAGACCAACAACGATGTTCCTAATATATAAGAGGCTAATTGCATCTCGTCTTCAAATACTTCTTTATAGGTACGCACCTATGATGATATCTATTTTTAGAAACACCATAATGATCGAAATCTATTGATCGATCCTACGTACAATGCATATATATGTATGCAGTGGGGATGTTGACGCTATAATCCCCGTTACTTCAACGCGGTATTCACTTGATGCGATGAACCTGAAAGTTGTCACACCTTGGCACCTATGGAAGGATGCCTCTGAAAACGTAAGCATTGATTTATTTCACCATATACAAGCATAGACTTGAATTTTTATATTTGGTTGATGAATTGATTTCTTGACATGATATCAGAGTCGCATTGACTTAAAAGAAATGATGACTTCAATTTTAAAGACTACTGTTAATGTGCAAGATTCGAAGTGACTACAAAAACAAATACTCCCTTCGTTCCATAAAACCCTCCCCCTTTCGTTTTTTTGAAATTCTCTAAAACACTTCCACTTTCTATATAAAAAAACCACTTTTACCCCTACTTTTTCATACTCTACCTATCACATCATACTTTTTTCAATAATAACCAAACTATCACATCTTACTTTTACCCATCACATCAGGAACAAAATTAGAAAATCAACCAAAATTACATTTTCCTTATTTTGGCCCAAAGTAAAAAAAGGGAAGAGTTTAAAGGAACAGAGGGAGTATAAGTGATACTACCTTCGTCCCAGAGTATTTATCCACTTTCATTTTTACACATCATCCAATGCACTTCTTTAATCCATTTTATCTTGTAATTTGTATATTAAAAAATTATAGAAATTATATATTAATAATCTATATGTTAAGACAAATCAAACAAGATCACACATGACTATTTTTAGGCTCACACTGAGAAAATTTGATGAGTCAAAGTGCTTAGATGAACAGTTTCAAAAGTCAAAACTGGACGAATACTCCGGGATGGAGGGAGTAAATATAATAGCTTGGCTTTGGCATTTGGTTGCAGGTGGCAGGATACAAAGTGGTTTATGATGGGTTAACATTCGCCACGGTTAAAGGGGCTGGGGAAGTAGTTCTGCAGTCTAAGCCTCGCAGTGCATTTGTCTTGCTCAACATGTTCCTTGCGGAGGCGGCCGCCAATAATCACCGCTAGAATATTGTCTTCTGAGGCACTAATGGAGATTACACATATAATATTATCCACACTTATTAGCTTCCACTTGCTTTCTCATATTCTCCCGCTAAAAAAACAAATACTCCGTTACAATACTACTATGCGGAGTAAATACTAGTGTGTGTGCTACATTATATCCATGAAAGCTAATACAAATAAACATGTAGCAAGATAATATGGAGTAATAAAATAAAAGAATCCTTTGGTAGATATCAAGCATTTTGTTTGTTTGTTGGTTGTTGTCAGGGATGGAAACAAGTCGGGTTCAGTTCAGATTTTAGTATATCCAAACTAGACCCAACATAGTTCAAATTCGGGTTTGATTTAGGCGGGCCGAGGTCTATTAAGGTTAAACTCACCTCTCATGTTGCTAGCTCCATCATAACCTTGATCACGACATTTAGATATGCTAAGTCCTAGTTTAGCAAGAACTCCTTCAATTGCTCATTTCAAAGACATCGATGATGTAGTGTCTGAAACATGAACAATGCCAACTAAACGCTCAACAATTAGGCCTTGTTTGTTCATATATCGTAAAACCATAGCAATTTGCTCTTTAATTGACACATATTGAGCTTCATCCACAAGCAAAGAATAATAGTCATCTCCAATTTCTTGAACTATGCCCTGTAAAGTTAAATCAGCACAAACAATAGCGAGATCTTTTTGAATCTTTGGAGATGTCATCTTGTTACTGTGAGGAGCATTATTTAAAACCACACTCCATATTTCTTCATTTGGCATGACATAAAAATTCAAAGTCTCTAGAAACAACCCCTTTCTACTTGAACTTTCAGATTCATCATGCACACGAAAAAGAAGACCATTTCTTAAAAAAAATCTGACAAAACTCAAAGACGTCTTCAACTGAATACGATAATCTTTTTTTCTTGCTCAGAAATATTCGAAAGAGTAATGTCAATATATATTGATCTATTCATCAAATCTTGCCCAACTTGGAAATTGATGGGCCGATACCCAACAGGTGGCCCAAACGACGTACCCGGGAGACGCTGGGTCACGTGGGCTGAGGAGTATCAAATCTGGGCTGGCCCAAGGCGCTGGGCCCAATCTAACCTAATTCAAGAGACAACTGGAAGAGTCGATCCGGGGGAGGAGATTCGGCTGAAGGCGGGGACGTAGCCGGAGAAAGTGGATCGCGCCTTCGACGGATTAGACTCCTTTGATTACGAATTACCTTAATTGCCTAAGAAACCATGTATAAATAGGGGAAACCCAAATGGGGATCCTCAAGCTGAATAAAGCTAATAAAACCTATAATTCTCGAGTTCTTGTTCTTATTAATTTCTTGTGATCCATTCTTCTGAATCGGATCATCTGGTGGAATTATTGTCCATCAGAAACATTTACTATGAACACTTTTAAGGTCCCCCATGTGAACTCTTAACCTACTTTTCTTATTCCAGCACCTAAATCCCGTCCCAAGAAATGCATCGTGACCATAGCTTGAACTACCAAACTCTATGTTGAAAAGGTAACAATAAAGAGAATAACAAGCATCTTTCAATTCACTATACTCTAACCAACCACGGAATTCCACATACCATTTTGGGATGAATCTTCGAGGGACATCATAAATGAGAGTTTGTGGATAACATGTAAGCTTTGAATGTGTTAGACCCTTGAGTAAGTACCTTCTACGGATACTTTCTCTCTCATCCGGATTCTTTGTCATAGAATGGATTGGAACTCTTTTTCTCGAATCGGCTTCGAGATTTGATGCGTCAAACTCATTTAGATTTTATTGAATTTGAGCTTGGGGTTGAAGTTCTTCAATTGGACTTCTTGTTTGAGTTACTTCAATTGGTGGTGTAGGTTTAAATCTTTTTAAATAGAATTCCAAACCTAACAAAATATAAATCATTTGCACATTCATATTTAATACTATAATTTATGTTCCTAAAAAAGATAATAATCTAAAATATCAATCACAACTTGTGTTACCTTTCATTGTTTGAAAAATATTCACTCTTCACTCCTTCAATTGAAATAATAGGAAAACCTGTGTTACTTCAGTTCTACTTCTGAAACTAATAATTTAGGTGCTGTTTGTTTCAGCCTCTTAATGGTTCAGATGTCTGAATGGTTCAGCACTTAATGGTTCAGACTGTTTGTTTCAGCCTCTTAATGGTCCAGATGTCTGAATGGTAAAGAGATTTGCCTCTGAATGGTTAAGTATTATACAGAGTCTGAATGGTTAAGATCTCTTATCTGAATTGATCAGACATTTACATCTGAATAGTTAAGCAATATACTAGCTCTTAATGGTTCAGACCTCTTACTGGTTCAGCACTTAATAGTTCAGACCTCTTACTGGTTCAGCACTTATCTATTCAGAAGTTACCAAACAGCCCCTTAGTATCAATTACAAAATAAATTATGAATTAAAAGAAGACATAATGTATTCTTAAAAAAATTATAGAGGTGCAAAATCAATATCAAAATTTTTTGAAATAAAAATTGGGACTCATCAGTGGCTTAGCACAGTGCAAAAAAACTCCAAAGTATAAATCTAATTATCTAAAGGGAGATTAAGGTGCAAAAATCATAATTTATAAGATCCAATTTGAGATCCGATTAAGGTACAAAAATCATAAATCAAAAGGGAGATAATTTTTTATAATGTTTTCAAAATTAAACTCTCTATTATTTACCTCAGTGCCTTACTGCCTCCACCAACCCGCCACGCCGCCGCCAGTCGGCCACCTCCTCCAGTCCTCTGGTGCCTTCCCGCACGCCGCCGCAAAGGAAATCGAAACAATCCGGACGGAAATTTGTAAGATCTAATTTGAGATCCAAATTGAGATGGAGGGTTTGAATATTTGAGATCCCTGACTCCCGTCTATCTAAGGTGATAAGGTGGGATTGTGAATTTTTTTTAATCCAAAACGACGTGTTTTGAGTATTATGAAAAAAATTGGAGTAACTCCAGGTGACGCCACTTGCACCATAGTGAGTCCGCCCCTGCTTGTGATAGATGGATGTAGGGTCAATCGCTGGGCCAAGGAAGCCCGAAGAATCCGACTACCACGGCCCAAGAAGAATAAGGGTCCTCGATGCCCACGAGTAAAGTGTGGTGGCCCGAATAATATGATCGAGTGATAGGCTGAGCCCAACCCACTAATCAGATCGCACGATACGACGAAGGACAATCCCACTGATCGTGTGTTATTGACGACTCATTCCTCGCACATGATTAACGCACAATTAGTCAATTAACCGGATATTGTAGCGCACGAATTACATATCAAATATACGATAATGTTAGATTATACTCTCTCCATTCTAAAAAAACTTCCTATTTTGACCAAATGTAAAAATAAATAAGTATTAAATTGTAGTTCACTTCCAATTTTACCCTTATGTGATAAATAAAAATAAGATGTGATATATAGATTATTAGAGGAAAAAGTATGATGTGATAGGTAAGTTATGTAACATAATGGTAAAAGTGATTTTTAATAGAAAGTGGAAATAATTTGTTGGAAGGGTAAAAAATGAAAGATGAAGTGTTTTTAGAACGGGGGAGTAAATAGGAGGCGTTTCCCTCCATTGTAACCCAAGTACAATCAAGTTAATACAAGCATACAAAAGTTATATTCCAATCTACTCCGTATATTATTGTTCTTATTTACATACAAGTTCTTCGTATCATCTGTTAAGCTAAATCTCATCAATTAGGTTATGAACTGTTTTATGTTATACTCCCTCTGTCCCAAAAAAGTGTATCTCGTTTCAAAAAAATTGTGTCCTTTAAAGTCCGTCTCATTTCTATTAAAAAACCACTTTTACCCCTTAGTTTTTCATACTGTACCCTATCTATCACATCATACCTTTTTCCTAATAATCTACTCATCACATTATTCGCATTCTACTTTTACCCATCACATCAAGGGTATTTTTGAAAAGTCAACACCAGAATATCCCTCTTTATTTTACCACTTTAGTCAAAATGGGACAAACTTTTTGAGACGGAGGGAGTATTATTCTATTTAAAAAAAATTAATTTTATTTATTTAAATATTTGTTTGAAAATAAATTTATTTATTTTTCATTACTATAAATAGATTTTTAAAAAGAAATTCGGAATGCCACCCTCGAACCACCCCCTCACTCCTTACAATGGCCTTGCCCCAGTCACCTTTTTAATGAAATATTTGCGCTAAATAGCACTAAAATTTAAGTCATTTTTCTAAATAGCACTAAATAATATCATAATGTCTAGTGATGGCGAACATTTACTTGAATAATGACTAATAGATAATGACTAAAAGTGTTACATTGGGAAGAAAAGCACTTCCGATGTTTTTTAGAGAAAGTCATTATGTTCTAGTGCTATTTAAGTAAATTCCTCCCTTTTTCATTATGTTTTACTCCCTCCGTTTGCAAAAAGACTTCTTATTTTGATTTGGAGCAAAAATAAGGAAGTGTTAAATTATAGTCGATTTCCAATTTTGCCCCTGATGTGATAGGTAAAAGTAAGATGTGATAGATAGATTATTAGAGAAAAAATATGATGTGATAGGTAGAGTATGAAAAAGTAAGGGTGAAAGTGATTTTTTAATAGAAATTGGAAGTATTTTGTTGAAAGTGAAAAAAATGAAAGAGGAAATGTTTTTGAGAACGGAGGGAGTAGTACTGAACCATACCCCAATTTCAATTTTGAGAGCCGCGATCCCAAACTGGGAGGATTTCCACCCTAGCAATAATTGGGGNAAATTTAAGCTTGTAAGTTCTATAAATAGAATCCAAAGTTGCACGTCCTTGGTCGCCTATATTTCTTCCACCTTCTCACACAGTACATACCCTCGAAAAAACAGATCGACTGAAGATGAAACTCCAAGCCCGGCCATTGTTTCCGAACCTCCAGATTGCATTATTATTGTTCTTTCTCCTCACTATCACGGCCACACTTTTTGGATTTGGGCACGGCTCAAATCATAAAAATGATGATGGTCAAGTTGGGAGGTTAATGTCCTTGCGCCATGCAAAAATGTACCCTCACGGCGGCCGCCGTGTTCCGCCACGGACAGAAGAAGAAAGGTACAACGTGGAAGATATAATAACGGAGTCACTGCCCGAAGTCGACGAGGGAAGCGTGACGGCGGATGATGATCTGATCGCCGGTGGCCTCCCCGGACAGCCGCCGGCGTCGAGTGCCAAGTTCAACCAGTATGCAGGGTACGTGAATGTAGACAAAAGGAATGGCAGAAGCCTCTTCTATTACTTTGCGGAATCTGCTGACACTCCTTCCAAAAAACCTCTCATTCTGTGGCTTAATGGAGGTGACCATATACAGTAGATGTTTATTAATTCCCCATATATATATACTTTCTTGATATAAAATATTCTCTAAACCTCAAATTGATTGATTAATAAAGGGTAGGGTATAAAACATTTTCTCAACTAATTAATAACAAGATTAAGCCACTACTTGAATTGATGGATTTCTTAATTACCAGAATATCAGAATTAACCTTTATGAATAAACCTCAAATTACCATGATATCACAATAACCTACTCGCGTATGTTCTTTGCCCCTAAAAATTTTTCTTCTTTCCTTCTTTTTGTCCCAAAATTCTTCTCACTCCCCCGTCCCTAAATATTTGCCACATTTGTATTCCCGAGGCAAAATATCATGTTTTTCAATTCATTTTATTTACATATTGGTAGAGAAATAAAAAATAAAATTTACATATCAAAAAACTACATGAAAAGTTCTTCGAAATAAGAGGTGTCAAGAATATTTTATTTTATCAAATAACCAATGAAAACGTAGAAATAAACAAAAGTTCCCGCAACTGCTGAAAAAGCAAACGTTGCAAATAATTTGGGACGGAGGGAGTACTTAAAAACAACTTTTATTCCACTATTTCTTACTTTACTTATCACATCATACCTAATCATTAATAACTTACCAATCACATCATACCTAGGGACAGGGGAGTAATAGTACTTATAGATCATAAAGTAATACTCCCTCCGTCCCAGAAAACCTTTCTCTTTTCTTTTTTCATCCGTCACAAAAAACACTTTTCATTTCTATTAAAAAATCACTTTTACCCCTTACTTTTTCATACCCTACCTATCACATCATACCTTTTTACTAATAATCTATACATCAAATCATACTTTTACCTATCATATCAAAGGACATTTTTGGAAATTCAATACCAAAATACACTCCTCTTAAATCTTTCTTCAAAATCAAAAATTCCATGTTTTTTGGGACGGAGGGAGTAGTACTCAACAAGGCTAATTTAGAAAGTCAATACAAAAATATATTTTTTTAAATCACATAAAAGTCATAATAAGGAGATTTAGGGACGGGGGAGTAATAGTACGTACTTATACTCCCTCCGTCCCAAAATGGACGCCACCGTTATTATTACGATTTCTCGACAGTTTTTGTTTGTTTGTATATTTTATAGATCATTTGATAAAAGAAAATATTTTTGTCAGCTCTTGTTTTATAGATTTTTTATGTACTTTTCAACAATGTAATTTAAACTTTTTAATTCTTGTTTTGTAGAACTTTTAATTTACTTTAAGAAATGTCCCTGAATAATAGAAAAAATTTGAAAATACTAAAATAGGAGTCCTTTAATTTGTCTTTCAAGACCAAAATTGGAGTATAATGGCAATGTGGTGCAGTGTAAGAATATGCATTGACAATGTGATGGAAAAATGATGACAGTGTAATATGTCAGTGTGATTAGTCAACCGTCAGCAATTTGCAGCGGCACTCCGGTGGCCGACGGTGACAGATGACAGTGTGGCATTGATAGTGTGACAATTACAATGTAACAATGTGGTGAGTGTGGCAGTGTAATAATGACAGAGTGAACTCCTATTTTGGTCTTAAAAGACTTAAGACTCATATTTTTATACTTTCATAATTTTTTTACTCATATTTAGGGAGTTCTCCCATGTACTCTTGAACGACATAGTTTATAGTTTTTATTTCTATACCCATTTGAAATTAAAGTAATTTAAAAAAAGTGATAACATTTTGGAGGTTATTGGAAAAGTTGTACTCCGTATTTTGGCATCTATTGTGGGAGGGTGGGAATATATTCAAACTGAGAATTGTTGCTAGTAAATATTATGTTTGATTTTAAGTCTTTAAAGAATGAATGAAGCAGGACCGGGTTGCTCATCACTTGGGCTGGGTGCCTTTGTAGAGGTTGGACCTTTTGGCGTTAACCCAGATGGCAAAACATTATACTCAAGAAGATTTGCATGGAATAGAGGTTAATTTTATTACTTTATTACTTTAGTGCACATTCATTGAATTGGGCTATATAATTGGCAGCTCATGAATATATACTCCCTCCGTTTGCAAAAAAACTTCTTACTTTGATTAGGAGCCAAAATAAGAAAGTGTAAAATTATAGTTGACTTCCAATTTTGCCCCTGATGTGATGGGTAAAAGTAAGATGTGATGAGTAGATTATTAGAGAAAAAGTATGATGTGATAGGTAGGGTATGAAAAAGTAAGGGTAAAAGTGGTTTTTTAATAGAAAGTGGAAGTGTTTTGTTGGAAATGAAAAAAATGAAAGAGAAAATGTTTTTTAGAACGGAAGAAGTATAATATATATGGCACTGTGCAAAATAGATCTCACATGCATTACACTTTAATTTCTACTCTAATAATAATAAATAATAATAACACTACTACTAATAATAATACTCCCGTCCCGTATCTTCTTCCCGTTGCGCAAAACGAATAAAAACCCTAAATTTTATTAGAAATTACCATAAATATATAGGACTAAAACATAGAGAAAAGTACCAAAATAAGACTTTCATGTCTTTTTTTCGAAATAGGACTTCGCACTTCAATAATGTGGTTGTAATGTGACACACTACATGAGCACATTACTATACTCTTTGATAATGTATATGACCATGTTTGGTAATGTAAATTCATTTTAAGTCCTATTTCGGGAATAAAAACATGGAAGTCCTATTTTAGTATATTTTCAATGTTTTATTCCTACTTTGGTCTTTCTCCAAAGTTTTTAAAATCTATTTTAATTAAATATTGTTATAGAAATCAAAAATAAAATTTACATATTTAAAAAATATATCAAAAGTTCAATAAAACAAATGGTGACAAAAATATTTTATTTTATCATATAGGCCATGAAAAATACAAATTATATTATTCAAAATTTTTGTGGAGTTAGAATAATGATCTGGGAAGAAAGATATAGGATGGAGGGAGTAATAGTGCTAATGATAATAATAATAATAATAATAATAATAATAATAATAATAATAATAATAATAATAATAATAATAGTAATAGTAATAGTAATAGTAATAATAATAATAATAATAATAATAATAATAATAATAATAATAATAATAATAATAATAATAATAATAATAATAATTGCGTGTGACGATGTTGCAGTTGCAAATATGTTATTTCTGGAGTCGCCGGCCTCAGTTGGTTTCTCATATTCCAATACTACATCCGATTATGCTAAATCGGGAGACAATAGGACCGGTATATTTATTTATACATACATAATTTCAATGCATGCAATAATTCTATCTATTCCATACATATAAATAATTGCATTTTTCTATATGTATTGATCAAATAATCCTTTAATTTGTGTGTGACCACAGCTCAAGATTCACTCAACTTCTTACTAAGTTGGTTTGAGAGATACCCACATTACAAGTCTAGTGATTTTTACATTGCCGGCGAAAGCTATGCAGGGTTCTACATCCCAGAGCTTGCCGATTTGATCATAAACACCAGTAAAATGTCTCACTCAAGAACCCTTAAGATCCCTCTCAAGGGAATTATGGTAATATAAATAGAAGCTAATTAAGAAGACTTAATTATGAGAGTGCATACATTCACTGAATTATATGTGCTTCAATTCATGGATATATACAACAAATAGATTGGGAATGGGATAATGAATGACGCCACGGACGAAAGAGGATTGTACGACTATCTCTGGAGTCACGCCTTGATTTCGGACGAAACGCACCGAGGGGTGTTCGAAGACTGCTTTTCGATGACCAAAAGGGGGATGAAATGTTATGAATTTCAATATTCTGCGGTCAAAGAGACGGGTAGCATAGATTATTATAACATCTATGCCCCGTTGTGCTCCTCCAACAATTCGCGGCACACACAGAAAAATAATGTCGCGGCCGGGGGGTTTGACCCTTGTGAGAGTGACTATGTGCATGCCTACCTTAATCTCCCCGACGTCCAGAAGGCCATGCATGCCAACACCACCAAGCTTAATTACACTTGGGAACTCTGCAGGTCCATTATATTAATTCACTATGACTTATTAATTATGTTGCATATAATGTGTCGTCGTCACATAATTAATTAACTTGTTTTGTTTGAGAGTTAATTAATTAGTCTAAAATTAAAGCTTACTCCGATCCATTTATATGTTTGGTTTGTGTTCATTCTTGAAGTGATGAGATCACAAGTTGGACAGATTCACCATTAACAATGTTTCCAATCTATAAGAGGTTATTCAAAACCGGCCTCCGAATACTTCTTTATAGGTACATTTTAATTCTTCTTAGTTTATTACTCCATAAAGTAAAGTAAATACTGATATTATAAATGATGAACCCTAACTATAAATGCAGTGGCGACATAGACGCGGTGGTGCCGGTGACCGGAACCCGGTATTCCATAAATGCTATGAACTTGACTGTGGTAAAGCCATGGCATCCATGGCAAGATGGTACACAAGAAGTAAGCATCAAATTTTTCATTAATCAATTAAAGTTTTTTTTTTTTTTTTGAAATGTTTTTTAAAATTAATACTCTGTAAAATTTACAATTGCAAGTTTAATTGTATATTGTGAGTGCAGGTTGGTGGGTACATAGTGGGGTACGAGGGTATAACGTTCGCGACGGTAAGAGGGGCAGGTCATCAAGTTCCACAGTATAAACCACGATGTGCTTTGGCCTTGCTTCAGATGTTCCTTTCCAACAAACACTAGCTTAGCCACCATTATTAGATCGAATGAACACGATTTATTAGTGGAATCCACCTTTTCCTTTGGCCGGTTGCTTTATTGATAAAACCATATCATTCTATTTATGCATCATTATATATGTGCAAAAAGTAGTCTACGTACCCCACCACTATTTGGTAATTCCTATTTTTGCATGGATAATGCTACGTTCACAAACTGGATTGGTCACAAACTCTACAAATTTACTATTTCTAGTTTAAATTCTCATTTTTAAATTATTTTAGACTATTTAATTTTTTTATGAAAGTTCACAAATAGTAAGTTTGTGAAGTTTGTGATTATTGTGTTTGTGAACCAAACATTTCCCTTTTTGCATTGATGTAGACTCGTAGTGTCCTTAAAATATACGAGTAATAAATTACAATTTTCTTATCTCTTCTTTTGATAATTTTTGTTTATTTTTTTATTTTTATTGATTATTAAATAAAAAATATTCTTGCTACGTTTGTTTTATACTTCTTCCACCCATAAAACTCTTTATGTTTGAAAAAAGGCACGTTTTTAAAATGAGTAACTCAGTGTTATTTTTTAATTTTGATACATCTACCCTACACATCTCAACCTACGTATTCTATTATAAAGTATACCAAAATTGCTCATTGTAAAGGCGTACCTTTTTTCCATATAGAAATGGTTTTATGGAATGGAAGGAGTAACATTTTGATGTTCTTATCTATTCCCTCTTGTTAGCGGGTATTTGTATATATGTCGAAGAATAGTATTTTGGGCCCACGATGTTTAGATCGTTTATGTACTTATATGTATATATATATATATATATATATATATATATATATATATATATATATATATATATATATATATATATATATATATGTTAAATATAGTATGTATATATTTAATATTAATGTTGTAATCATTGTTAATATGGTAGTTGCCTTGTATAGGATTCCTTCCGTAGTTAGGATTCCTTTGTACTATATATACGAGGCTTAGCCCTCCATCATGAAACATAGAAATTAATCATTCTTCATGGTATCAGAGCCTTCGTGCCATTCTCTCTCTCGTCTCAACTAAGCGTCGGTGCAAAACCCTAGCAGCCCGCCTCCCTCTCTCTCGGCCGAACAGCTCACGACCGCCGGTCTCTCTCACCGGCGACCCTCGGCGGCTCACCCTCTCCCTCGGCGTACCTCTCTCCCTCGGCAGTCTCCTCCTCTCCTCAGCCGGCCACCATGTCCGAGAAAACACCCGTCACCGGCGCACCATCATCTTCACCGACTCCCCACTTGGCTTTCACGACCATCTCCAACGTGAAGCTCCATGTTCCGATCCTTCTCAGCTTCTCCGAGCCCAACTACAAAAAGTGGAGTCGGCTCTTTCTTCTTCTCCTCCGCCGGTTCTCACTTAGTGATTTTCTCACCGGCAAGTCTACTCCGTCTAGCGCCGACGACTCCGAGTGGTTTCAACTCGACGCCCTCATTCAAGGATGGATACTATCTACGGTGAATGACGAAGTTTGCGATCTTGTCCTCTCCACCACCAATTCGGCTTCGGAGTTATGGCAAACAATCTACAATCTTTTCCACGACAACAAGGCGGCCCGAGCCATGCAACTTGAGCACCAATTCCGCACTACAACGAAGGGCTCACTCTCCATGGTCGTCTATTGCCAAACCCTACGGAATCTAGCCGATTGGTTGGACGACGTTGATGCCACCGTCTCCGAGCAACAACTAGTTCTACAGGTCCTTCGTGGCCTTCCGGATGATCTACGGGGCCAAACGTCCTTTCTCCAGTACCAAACGCCGCCCCCGACTTTTCTTCAAACCCGCTCGGCACTACTTTTAATTGAACAACAACGAGCAGATTTGGGGGTTGGCGGCATCGGAGGGGACGGTGGGACAGCCTTGTACGCGGGCAGTGGCGGCTCCAGCGGTGGCGGACCTCGACGTTACGGCAGCGCTGGCGGGGGCCGCGCAGATTCCAGCGGCGGGGGCAGTTCTCGACAGCCGCAGCACCACCGGCAGCGTGGTGGACAGCAGCGGGGTCGTGGTCGCGGCCAAAGCTCCAGGTCAAATGCACGTCACACCCTCGGGCAGCCCTCCAGACAGTTCACCCACCCAAACTCTACCCCGGGCCTTCTCGGTCCTCGCCCTAACCCCCACCCNTCCCGTCGCCCACACCGCCGGTGCCAACCCCCCTTCCCCCACAGCTTTAGCCCACTACTTTGACACCCTCACCCTCCGCGATCCAAACTGGTACATGGACACCGACGCCACCCACCACATCGCCTCGGACCCAGGTACTCTTTCTCATGTTCATAATCATTCTTTAAATTCATCATCATATATCACAGTAGGTAATGGTTCTAAAGTTCGCACTACGGCCACTGGTAACTACACTTTTCCCACATCCCCTCCCCTTAACTTACAAAACATCCTTGTTTCCCCGCATATAATCCACAACCTTATCTCAGTTAGACAATTCACCTGTGACAACAATTGCTCCATTGAATTTGACCCCACTGGTTTTTCTGTGAAGGATATGCTGACGGGAACCGTGATTCATCGGTCCAATAATGCCGGGCCTCTTTATCCTATGAGCCCAACAACCGCTCATGCCCAGGCCCAGGTCAACGTTGCCACCGGAAGCCCGGAGCTCTGGCACCGTCGCCTTGGTCACCCGAGCCTTGCCGTCCTCCGTGGAGTCTCCAGTCTCTTGTCTACTTCTTCTTTTAAACATTTACAGCACTCTCTTTGTCATGCTTGTCAGTTGGGAAAACATGTTCGTCTCCCATTTGAGTCATCGAGTCGTCTTTCTACTTTCCCTTTCCAGCTTTTACATACTGATTTGTGGCAATCGCCTGTTACTAGTGTTACTGGTTTTAAACATTATATGTTACTCTTGGATGATTATTCACATTTTTTATGGGTATTTCCTCTTAGAAGTAAATCTGAAGCTTGCTCACATCTCCATACTTTTATAGCTTTTGTGAAAAACCAGTTTAACACTACTATTAAAGCTGTGCAATGTGATAATGGTACTGAATACAGAAACAGGCCCCTACGTAATATTTTTGAATCTTTGGGCATTCTTTTCCGTTTCTCCTGTCCCCATACTAGTCAGCAAAACGGACGAGCAGAACGCACAATTCGTACCATAAATAATACCGTTCGCTCTCTTTTGTTCCAAGCCCAACTGCTACCCACCTTCTGGGTGGAAGCCCTACATATGGCAGCTCATCTCTTTAACCTCCTACCCACCACCACTCTCCAAAATCGTACCCCCCATGAAGTTCTCTATGGTATTAAACCCACATATTCCCACCTTCGTGTCTTTGGATGTCTCTGCTATCCAAATCTTTCCGCTACAGCACCCCACAAACTCGCCCCCTGTTCGGCCCGTTGTTTCTTCCTTGGATACCCGTCTAACCAACGCGGGTACCGATGTCTTGATCTCGTCACTCACAAAATTATCACTTCTCGTCATGTGACCTTCGATGAGCATTCCTTTCCCTACACTCATCCAGTCTCACCCACAGATCTTGACTTCCTTGACTCCGCGGAGGACGATCCCAACCCGCACCACACTTGC